TCCTTGATTTATGACCAAAACTGAGCCCAAACTTTCTGTGGCTAAGGGAGACAGCTGTTAAGTGAACATTGCCCCCTTTATGACCTTTTCTGCCACAGTTGTTAAGTGAATCACTGCAGTTTTATAAGATGGTTGTTAAATGAACCTGTCTTCCCCATTGACTTTGCTTGTCAGAAGGTTGCAAAAGGTCTTCACATGACCCCAGGACACTGCAACCATCATCAATATGAGTCAGTTTCCAAGTGTCTGAATTTTGATCACGTGACCATGGGGGTGCTACAATGGTCATAAGTGTGAAAATGGTCCTAAGTCACTTTTTGCAGTGCCATTGCAACTGTCAGGGTTCCTTGGAACTTTGAACTGTCACTAAATGAACTGCTGTTAGTCGAGCACTACTTGTAGTCCTTCCTTCCTTCCTTCCTTCCTTCCTTCCTTCCTTCCTTCCTTCCTTCCTTCCTTCCTTCCTTCCTTCCTTCCTTCCTTCCTCTTCTATAGCCACCCAACTCAACAAAGTGACTCTGACCAGCTTACAAGTCTAAAATTATATAACAATTAAAAACATTCAAACTAAAAACATCCACAAAATAAATAAGTACAAACTTGTTGCATTGCAGCTTTGCAAAACTCTGGGAAGTGATGCAGCTGCTTTAAAGCAGTTGGGGTAGGTACAATAGGCAGATCCCTGGGCATCTTTTTGCCTTCAAATACAAGCGCTGTGCAGCCCTCTTGTCTATCTGTAGGTCTATTCCAAGGGTAGGCGTGGCCAGTGTGGGCGTGGCCAGCTTGACATCACTCGTGTCGGAGGCGCCTGTGATAGCCTGAGTGCTCTGCCAGCAAAAATGGGCTCCTGAGCTCTGCTTTCAGCTGCCACGACCCGCATGCGGCCCTCCTAAGCTCTGTTTTCACTGGCAGAGAGTTGCAGGAGGCTGGGGCAGCCGAAAACAGAGCTTAGGAGCCCATATTCAATGGCAGAAGCACCGCGGGCCAGTCCTTCCCTGTATCCAGGGCAGCCCCGCGGGTCAGATCTGGTCTAGTCCTAAAAATCTTTCCAAACACGATTAAGATATCAGAGATGTAATGGGTAAGGAATCAGTTGGTTTCTTGATTCTCCTACCTTGTGAAATGCAGTTTAAAGGGCTGAAGATACAAATTGTAATGTAACGACAGTGTTTGAAAAAAACAACAACGACTAAAGCATTCAAATGCCTTTTGACATGTGAGAAGGTTTAGCACCGACAAGTTGCTTCTGATTTTAGGCAACGTTTAGACATTACAGGGAAGAGCTGTGCTAATCTATAATAGCACAAAATCAGGAGAAAGCTTATGCCATGGGGTAAAATTTGTCGATGAGAAAAGATGCTACGAAACACTTTCTGATTTTTAGCACCAACAAAGCTGCTGATGTGATTGCAGTAGATGGCCTTCACTGCGGAGGAAATCAGAAATGAGGGGAATTGTGAGGGTTGGACAAGCTGTAGTGAAACAAGGTTCAGTGAGGCAGTATATACACATGCATACATACATGTGTATACCAGTGGTGGGTTGTCCCCGGTTTGCACCGGTTCTATAGAACCAGTAGTAAAACCGGAGGGAGGCTCCGCCCACTGACCCTGACGACATCAAAATGAAGACGTGCGCGCGGCCCCGTTGCGAACCGGTAGTAAAGGTAAGTAGAACCCACCCCTGGTGTATACGTGTCTGTATGTGTGTGTATACATACCTACAAACCAGTGGTGGGTTTCAAATTTTTTTACTACCGGTTCTGTGGGTGTGGCTTGGTGGGCATGGCCTGGTGGGCGTGGCAGGGGAAGGATACTGTAAAATCTCCATTCCCTCCCCACTCCAGTGGAAGGTTACTGCAAAATCCCCATTTCCTCCTGATCAGCTGGGACTTGGGAGGGAGGGAATAGATGGGGCCGGAGCCAGTCAGAATTTTTACTACTAGGGTTGCAAGGTCTGCTTCCAAAAAATAGCAGACAAGCGGGGGGGGGGGGTGTTAAGTGGTAAAAAAATAAAAAAAAATTTACAATTAAATTATATATTTTCTTACAAACATTTTAACACGTATTAAAATAATCACTTCAAAACTTTACTTAAAATTCAAAACATCAAATATATTATAATAATATGTAAAATATTAAATTACATTTTAATTTCATCATAAAGCTTTTGAATAAAAATAGTGAACATAATGTGAAAAAAGCAGACTGTCCGCTCAAATAGTGGACACCTGGCAACTCTATACTGGTTCTCCAAACTATTCAAAATTTCTGCTACCGGTTCCCCAGAACTGGTCAGAACCTGCTGAAACCCACCTCTGCTACAGACATGTGTGTGTATACATATACATATGTACAGATATGTGTGTACACATGCACACAGATACATAAATGCACACACACACACACCACTTTCAAATTGTGTTGAAGAAGACTATTTAGAGTCCCTTGGACTACAAGGAGATCAAATCAGTCAATCCTAAACGAAATCAGCCCTGATTGTTCTTTGGAATGGCAGATCCTGAAGCTGAAGCTCAAATACTTTGGCCACCAAATGAGAAGAGGGGACTTAATTGGAAAAGTCCCTGATGTTGGGAAAGATTGAAGGCCAAAGGAGAAGACTTAACGACTGAACAACATACATTTCAGCATTCCAAGTAATGCACCCTAGAAAGCAGAACTCTGAGGCAGGTAGATTCCTCAAAAAACAAATTTATTGGATACATCATATTGGCACAACTGGTGAAAACCGACTGAAAGTTTCTGCTGTTTTCACCCAATTAAAAGAGAAAGTTTTCCCCTTTCCCCAAGTCATCAGTCACATAATGCAATAGAACTGCTGGCCAGTTGCTTGGTTACTTTGCTCCTCCTCTCCCAGCCACCTGTTAGAATGACCTTGGTTCCCACAGGAAAACCTTTTGTTTTGACTGCAAAACCTCAGTTGATTATTTCCCTCCCCCTCCCTTCTAGTGGCAACTCTGAAACCTCAAAAATGGCCCCAGCCAGGTTTGGTTCAGGGTTGACGGTAGATATGCATCCTTTTACATGTCTTTTTCATGGTCATCTTTTTTTGTCTAGGGTATAAATATATAATTAAATAACAGTGGAGTAGTAAATTTCCCAGTCTCAGTTTCATGTAAATGAAATTAAATAAAGCTCCCAACTATGCTTAGGATTTGATCCTGCTTGGCTAATAACAGGTAGCTCTGGCAGTTTATCTCAAATGGAACTGCAAGATGTCAATTCACCCTGAGGCTGTGAACACTCTACAGACTGAGCTAGGGTTAAGAAAAGACCTAGTAGATGCATTAAAAAAAAAACATGCTGAATGCTTTGATTTACAATACAGATTAAGAGGACCATCCTGTGTTTTGACTTAGATCTACCTATGCATACTTATTTCAGTTAATGGCTGAGGCGAGCTTTTAGGAGCAATGTACTGTGGAGTTTCTTGGCCATTACATTATCCACATGATTAGTAGTTCTCCCAAATCATACGGGGGTATATATTTCATTTTATAATTTGTTGTCTAACTATTTTCCCTCGAGTGAGCACTAATTACCAAGAATTAAGCAGAGGCAAATGAAAACATTATTCTCTTGAGAGTATCATCTCCTCCTCTTCTGTTTTTTTCTCTTATCTAATTCCAAACAGTTGCTCTTTAGATATGCTTGCCCAATACTTGAGAATACTCTCATAGATTCCTAGGTTTGGAAAGGATTTCAGAGGTCCTACTTGGTGAATGATCTGCTAAACATTTTGGGCAAATGACAGACTCTGTTTGAAGACCTCCCAAGAAAGCAGAATAGCTCACCTCATGAGGGAATCAACTTAATCTATTAGTTGACATCCTTATTATTACAAATTCCTCCCAATATTGATCCCAAGTCTACTTCCCTTCAGTTTTACCCTTTGGATCAAATCATGCCCTCAGGGGCAACTAAGAATAGAATAGAATAGAATAGAATAGAATAGAATAGAATAGAATAGAATGGAATGGAATGGAATGGAATGGAATGGAGTGGAGTGGAGTGGAGTGGAGTGGAGTGGAGTGGAGTGGAGTGGAGTGGAGTGGAGTAGAGTAGAGTAGAGTAGAGTAGAGTAGAATAGAATAGAATAGAATAGAATAGAATAGAATAGAATAGAATAGAATAGAATAGAATAGAATTTTTATTGGCCAAGTGTGATTGGACACACAAGGAATTTGTCTTGATGCATATGCTCTCAGTGTACGTAAAATAAAATAAATAAATCTGCTGTCTCCTCCATATGATAATCCTTCAGATATCTGAAGAATGTTATTATAACTTCTTCATTTTTCTCCTCTGCGGCTAAAAAGACCCAGTTCCTTAATCATTCAGCACAGGGCTTTGTTTCCACTTCCTTCACCTTCTTGATAGTCACCCTCTGACGTTGCTCCAGTTTTTCAATATCCTGTTTAGACTGTGGTGGAAAAACTGATCGTAGCATTTCAAGTGGGATCTGCCCAAGGCAGATGAGAATGGGACAATTATTTCCTGCGATCTGAATGTTATGCTCCAGATAACTGACTAGGTGGCTCAGTGGCTAAGACATTGCGCTTGTGGATCAGAAAGGTCGGCAGTTCGGCAGTTCAGCAGTTCGAATCCCTAGTACAGGTCTTCTGCGTGAGCAGGGGGTTGGATTAGATGACCTCCAAGATCCCTTCCAACTCTGTTACTATTACTGTTAGATCCCAAATATATCCCAAAATAATATTTGTCTTTTACGTAATTATCGCATCCCATTATTCCTAAAGTATTCCTTGAACCCCGATCCACAAAATGGCGATATTGGGTTTTGTTTTTGTTTTTGAAGAAGAACAAACTTCCCCATTTCTATTTGACTGAACTTTTCTTTTATACTGATAATCTCTCACAGAACTCCATCAAGTTCTCCTAAAATTCTAGGATTCTGTGGAACACGCTCTGTTCTAGAATCCTGTACTAGAACACTCAGATTCTTTTCATGTCAATTGACTGCTAAGCTGGGCTTCCTCCATTCTACCCAGATAGTCCTTGACTGATAACCACGATTGGGACCAGAATTTCCACCGCTATACAAGGTGGTTGTTAAGCGAGTCACATCTGATCTTATGACCTTCTTTTGCTTTGATTGTTAAGCAAATTATTGTTAAGTGAAGGACTAGGGGAGACATGATGGCAGTGTACCAATATCTCAGGGGCTGCCACAAAGAAGAGGGAGTCAAGCTATTCTCCAAAGCACTTGAGGGCAGGACAAGAAGCAATGGGTGGGAACTAATCAAGGAGAGAAGCAACCTAGAACTAAGAAGAAATTTCCTGACAGTTAGAACAATTAATAGAGCCTTGGTGGCACAGCAGAGTAAAGTGCTATTAAGTAGCACCAGCTGCCTGCAATTACTGCAAGTTCAAATCTCACCAGGCTCAAGGTTGACTCAGCCTTCCATCCTTTCGAGGTATGTAAAATGAGGACCCGGATTGTGGGAGCAATAAGCTGATTTTGTATAAAAAAGAACACCGCTTGGGGGCCCCTGAAAGCCCTACTAAGCAGGTATATACAAAAGTATGAAGGCTATTGCTGAACGCATTGTAAGCCGCCCTGAGTCTCCAGAGAAGGGCGGCATATAAATCGAACCAATAAATGAACAATAAATAAATTAATCAGTGGAACAACTTGCCTCCAGAAGTTGTGAATGCTCCAACGCTGGAAGTTTTTAAGAAGAGGTTGGATAACCATTTGTCTGAAGTGATGTAGGGTTTCCTGCCTAAGCAGGGGGTTGGACTAGAAGACCTCCAAGGTCCCTTCCAACTCTGTTATTCTATTCTATTCCAATTGCTGCAGTTTTAAAATGAATTGTGCACTCATTATGTGGAAACTTTGCTTGTTGGAAGCCAGCTGAAAAGAACACAAATAGGGACCACATGGCCTGAGATAGTGCAACCTTTATAAATACATGCCAGTTGCCAAGTCCCTGAATTTTAATCACGCGAGCATGGAGATGTTATAATGGTCATAAGCAGAAGGACCAGCTTTTTAAAAATGTTGTTGCAATTTAAAACAATCACTGAATGAATGGCTGTAAGTCAAGGACTACCTCTACTTGGGCCGTTCATTTCTTCAGTCGAAATGCAGGATTTTATATTTCACCCTCCCGTGTATCAGTCCAATGTTCAAACAGTCTAGATCTTTTAAAATCTCACCTTATTGTTCTAAGGTATTAGCTCCTCTCACTCCTTTTTTTTACACCATCTGTATCATCCTCTCGATCCAGGTCATCAATTCAAAAGACAGAACAGCCCAGGCCTTTTCAGTACTACTGTCCAGCCTGATACAGAGCCATTAAAAGCTCTATCTCTATATCTATCTATATAGTTAAGCCAACTATAAATCCATATACCGTATTTCCCCCAAAATAAGACCCTGTCTTATATTTTTTTGAACCCTGAAATAAGTGCTTGGCCTTATTGCCGTGCGCTCAAAAGCCCGATTGGGCTTATTGTCAGGGGATGTTTTATTTGGGGGGAAACAGGGTAATAGTTATATCACCCAACACATATTTTATCATTTCACGAATGAAGCTATCATGAGAGATATTGTTGAATGTTCTGGCTGTGTTCACATAACATGCTGCAACTTCACAAAAACATAATGGTTGTTATCTGTGTCCCAATCAAACCACATTATGGTTTAACATCATGGTCCAGTTCATACAACACGTATGGGGTTTTACAACAGGCTGAACCATCTGAATCATCTGGGAGGGCTAGGTATGGAAAATGAGTATGTATGCCACGGGCATGTCCTTGCACATGAGGTGCATATTAAAAAAGGGACGTGGCTTTGGTTTTGCAATTAAGGCTGCCATCCTGACTTTTTTGACCTGATTCCCTGCCCTGAACGGATGCTCCGGATACTACAGTTCAGTATTTTATATTAAGCATTGGAGGTGATATTTGGGACATAACAATAACAGAGTTGGAAGGGACCTTGGAGGTCATCTAGTCCAACCCCCTGCTCATGCAGGAGACCTATACTAGGGATTCGAACCGCCGAAATGCCGACCTTTCTGATTGACAAGCTCAGCGTCTTAGCCACTGAGCCACCTAGTCAAAACCAAGGTTGATTTGTCTTTGTTGATTATTTTGCTTTGATGCAGCTAGGTTCCCCCCCCCCCCGGTGACGAATGCAAAGCCAGAGAAGTGGCATAGCTACTCTGATCTGTTAAATAAAACCTGCCTTGCAGATCTATTTCTAGAGCAGTGATGGCTAACCTTTCTGCCATCGTGTGCCAAAAGTGGGGGGAGTGCAGGGGGGCATGCGCACATGCCCACACCCATAATTCTATGTGCCCCACCCCCCTGCGCATGTGTGCGTGACCCCACTGCGCTCCCCCCGCTTTTGGCATGCAATGGCCCGGTGGGCCTGGTAGGCCCGTTTTTCGCTTTCCGCAGGCTCCAGAGCAGTGGTTCTCAACCTGTGGGTCGCGACCCCTTTGGGGGTCGAACAACCCTTTCACAGGGGTTGCCTAAGACCATCAGAAAACACATATTTTCAATGATTTTAGGAATAATTTTATGGTTGGGGGTCACCACAACATGAGGATCTGTATTAAAGGGTTGCGGCATTAGGAAGGTTGAGAACCACTGTTCTAGAGCCTTTCTAGAAATCTGGGGAGGACGAAAACAGCCTCCCCCCCAGAGGCCCTCTGGAGGCCAGAAACAGCCTGTTTCCTGACTTCCGGTGGGCCCAGAAGGCCCAAAAATCAACAGGCCGGCACCCACATGCACGCTGGAGCTGAGCTCGTGTGCCCACCGATATGGCTCTGTGTGCCACCTGTGGCAAGCATGCCATAGGTTTGCCATCACGGTTCTAGAGATTTAATTTATAACACCTGATTTAAACCTTGCATAGCTCTGGAAACAACATAATCTCACTTCAGTTTCCACCAGCGTGTTTTGCCAGCTGAATCAGTTCGTATACTGTATAGCAGCCTTGATGAAAACACTGCTGTGTTTCTTGATTCAAAGCACTCGTATCTCTTGACTCTGGCTCAAAATTGCCAATTCTTGCCTTGCTTTTTCATCAATAGTTTTATTTGGAGCTTGACTTTCTCTTGACCTTCCACCTATCCTTAATCTACTCTCGTCCATAATTTTCCTTGATGTATCACCAGTTGTAATATAGCAACCCGTGACTGATTACTTGATCCTTTTGTATTCTTTGGTTGTCTATGCTCCCTAAATTAAGAAGATGAGCTTTGTTTTAGAAAACAACCTTTTTAATGTGGGGTCCTTGGTACTCTCTGAACTTGGTTGTTTTCTTGCAAGCATTTCTTTACCAAACTAGGAAGCATCATCAGGATTTTTAAAAATAATAGATACACCCCCACATTTTGAAGACTTAACTTTAAATGTTCTCTCCTTTTTCTATCTGCTTTGTGACTTGTTTCCAAAGCACCAGGAAGCTGCAAAAAAAATTTTCCGCATATTTTATTTATTTTATTTATATATATAACATATAAAAATTCAATTTCCATCAAACAGTGTGTGATCAGTTCTTTTTAAGTAATCACAATCCACATATTTGTTATAATATTCTTCACAATAATATTGATAATATAATAACAATAATACTTAACATTATCTTCTTTAACAACTCTTCACTTTAACATTTCCTCTTTTTATATCTCCTCTTTTCTAACTTCTGTTTCTATTGTCTAGCCATTGATAAAATACATCCCATATCAAAAAAATATTCAGTTTCTTTTTTATTCTTAATAGTAAGCGTTAATCTATCCATTTCTGCGCATTCTAGTATTCTCTTAATTGCATTCTCATCTGATGGAATCTCATCCTTTTTCCATCGCTGTGCAAATACAACTCTGGCTGCAGTTAGTATATGTAAAACCAGATATATAATCCTTTTATCATATTTTTCCGGTAGGATGCCCAACAAAAATGTCTCTAGTTTCAAGTCTATATGCTGCTTTATCATTTTTTCTAACCAAGTATGTATTTTCATCCAATATTCTTTAGCTTTTGGGCATGTCCACCACATATGGTAATATGAACCAGATGATTTATTATACTTCCAGCATTTAGCGGATCTATCTTTATACAAAATTGAAGTTATCTTCAGTAGTAGCATTAACCAAGGAACAAATAAAATTTAGGGAGTGTGGGAGAAAAGCCAGGTATCTTAATGGTGAACCCCACTGCTCCTAAAAAATTGTTGGTGAATTTCCCTGGATTTTTACAGTGTAGATCCCATGTGATGTTTGCAGTTGCATGGAGCACCAAGGGATAGCATACAGCCATTTTCATCTGTAATGGGATTCATAGCCTGATCTTATTTTACGATTTCAAAGTACAATGGTCCTTGATTTCAATTCCTGATAGAAGGTTTGTACGCTATAGAATAAATTTAAGCTTCTTGCATCTCATGACTCTTTCAGCTGAAGAAAGTCATTGAAATAGCTATTTCCTTCACCCCTCCCTTCATACAATTGTTATGTCCACAAATAAAACTGAAACTTTTATGAAGCTGTTTGCACAAGTTAATTTAAACTCTGTAAGCTCTATGGAAACCGAGGCTATTGGTGTTGTTTATTTGTTTCTTTGCAAAATGCCTTGCATGTGGATTAGTGCTACTTCACTGGAACAATTTGGCAGGGGAGAGCGTTTAGGGGGAAAAATAGATAAGTGATGTCAAAGAATGAATTGGCATACTGCAAAGCCAGAGAATTATAGACTTGGAAGCTGATCATGTAGACCAAACCCTATTTCAACACTACTGGTATCCACAGGGAGGTTGGAGTGGGGGGAAGCAAACTGGTGAAAGCAGTTTTGTGGCATTGTGATATAAGTCTCCTTTCCAGGTGCATGGTGACACTGCTCATCTGTCTGAAAAGGGAAGGACTTGCAATGTTATGCCCCAAAGCTGTTTTCATCATTTTGATGAAATCCAAAATGCCAAAATCCAAATTCAAGTATTCCAGACAAGTGGCCATCCAACTTTCACTGGAATGCAGCAATGAAAGGAAGACCATAAACTCTTTGGTGCTGCCCTTAACTGTAGAACAGA